TGAAGAGCGCTTTTTGGGTGCTGGGGAAAGGAACTCTGGCCAGAGATGAATCACATGACCTCCCTGCCCCTGTTCTGTTCATTGTAGAAGGGCGAACTAGCACCCAGCGTGTGGATTCACACACATGATTCTGAGACTTTGTTATCCATCTAGTGCTTATCTAATGCACTTAAGTTGTGTCGGGCACTGGCCAGGTATTGTGGATTAAAGATGAGTAAGTTGCCTTGCCAGCCAGCATCCTTTCAACTCAAAGGATGCTCTCGGTGTAGGAAGAGAGGCCGGCAGGTATGTCAGTGAGTCAAGCCTCTGTGTAGGCCTGTGCGGAGTGCCGAGGGAGTACAAGGGAAGCCTGGACTGTCAGGGAAGGTTTCCTCAGGCGGGCCATATCATCTGAACTGACTCTTAGTGCCACACAGGAACTATCTGGTAGAAACGAGGAGTAGATATTTCATTTGAGGAATGAAAGGTATGTGTGAAGGTACTGAGAAACCAGAAGGCAGAGGATGTTCAGAGAAGCACAGGAAGTCCGCGTGACTGAGGTAAAGCCAGCAGAAGGTTCGAGTAAGCATGGAGAGGCAGGAAGAATTGCTGCAGGCCTGCCTTCTAGGAAAGGGTGCTGGAGCATAATTAGTACATTATGACGAGAACAGCTATATCTATGGTTTGTAATATGTTCTAAGCATTGCACTAAGTGTTTTATCTGTGGTATATCAGTGAATTTTCATAGGAACCCAGTGAGGTGAAGACAGTATCATCTCCATTTCACAGAAATAAGCTTGAAGAAGTGAAATAACGTGCCCAGGGTACCCTCCTGTTTCAGGGCAGAACAGGAATTTGAACCCAGGTCTTTGTGATTGCACGATCCATGTTCTTTCCACTATACGGAAAGGTTGTTTAAATTATACACAGTGGTGTGTTATGAGACATAACAGACATATAGAATATATTTTAGAAAGATTTCCATTCAGAATGGTTCAAATAAAAGCTTTGGTGTGAAAACCTTCCTTCTCTGGCACCTATTCTTTTAGCCAGATCAGATTTAGGGATCTCAGTCAAATTGGCTGAGAAGAACATCGTGGTTACAAGTACGGGCTCTGAGGCCAGGCTGCCTGCGCTCAGATGCTAGCCATGCCTCTCCTACCTGTTGGACCCTGGAGCTCAGTTTCCTCATCTTTAAAGTGACAGTAATGGGGCGCCTGACTGGCTCAGTTGGTAGAGCACACAATACTTTATCTCAGGGTTATGAGTTTGAGCCCCATGTTGGGTGGAAAGATACTTTAAAAAATTTAAAAATTAAAAAAATAAAATGGCAGTACTAATGGAATTTATCTCATAGGGTTGTTTTAGGGTTTAAGTCAATTTCTCCAGGCAATGCTTTTATACGGCCTCTTAGATAGTGTTACTATCAATGAGGCAATTGGGTTCTTGGCATCAGCAGAAGAAAGCCAATTTTTTGGTGGCTTGTTTTGTTTTGTTTTGTGTTTGTTTTATGTATTGCCTGGGAGTGGGGGCAGAGGGGGAGGAAGAAAGAATCTTAAGTAGGCTCCAAGCCCAGTGTGGAGCCCTATGCATGGCTTAGTCTTATGACCCTGAGATCATGACCTGAGCTGAAAGCGAGCGTTGGCTGCTTAATGAACTGAGCCACCGAGGAACCCCTTGTTTTTGTTTTAAGGTTTCATTCATTCATTCATTTATTTTAGAGCAGGAGACAGCTCCTGCACATGGGTGCAAGGTTGGGGTGGGGGAAGAGAGGGGGAGGGGGAGAGAGAGAATCTTGAGTAGACTGTGCACTGAGCATGGAGCCCAACACAGGACCCGATAGCATGACCCTGAGATCATAACCTGAGCTGAAACCAAGAGTCTTAACCAACTGAGCCAGCCACCCAGGTGCCCCAAACCAAGGTTTATTTTTAGGATTTTATTTTTAAGATTTAAGATTAAGTTATGTTTTGCCTTAAGCCCCAGATGTTTTATCCTTCAAAAACTCTTAGACTAGAGTTTTGGGTGGGCTTGAAGAGGGATTTTCATCAGATTGTCCAAGAGTTCTATTTCCCAAGACTTAATCATGACTGCTTTACAATATGCTTTTGACAGTTTAAAAAGTTACTCTTTGAAAGGTCTTGATATTGTGGTATATGTCATCAAACACTTAAAAGGAGCTTCTGGCTGCGCAGTTACAACATTGTGAGTCACACTTAGTAAGTGGATTTGTTGGCAGTCGTTTGCTACTAATAATAAAGTATATGATAAAGTACCCAAGTTTTTGGAATATTAACATTGTATTAAGGGGAGTCCTGTTATTCCAGATGTAACCAGCGTGATTCACTTGCAGTACTGTGTGTTTCCTTGCATTGGAAAGTCTAGAGTGGAATTCCTGGCCTTGTCTTTGGAATCATGTAGAAATGTTTTGTATGCATAGAAATCACCCATTGTTTGTGTGTTTCTAACTACTAAACTACATTTAGAACAATCTCTGTGCCCTCGAGAAAGTTGGACTCTTCAGTTTGAATTCCAGACTTTCGGTCCACAGAGGGGAGTAGCATTTTGCATGGTGTTTAAGTTCTAAGGTCAGCACATAAGGTGAGAATTTTAAGTAGTCCAGGTTTCCCTAAAAATCCCCTAAGGAAGGCCGGCTTCACAGCTAAGGCTGACAGACTCTGAGTCCAACAGAATGCCAGCCCAGTGCAGCTGGTTTCTTCCCAGCACCAGGTGGAATCATTGGCGTAGATTCAGGAGCCATAATTATTACTTTTTTAGTTGTTAGCTACAAATATCAGAATCACACTTGAGTAGTGAGTTGCACACACTAAGAGAGATGGATAGGAACTATCTAGGGAAAGCAGATTCATGCTCTTTGTCACACTAGCTCCTAGAAGTAGGTTCGTGGAATCACCCAAACTAATCAGTCCATCTCTCACGCATGCAAATGGCCAAATATAGAACTTACATGAACTCCCCTCTGTGCAGCGCCATCCCATTGTATCTGGGGCCCGATAAAGGGGGATTTGAAGGAATTGAGCCTTAGAACATTTGTGGTTATGCAGCTGCTCCCAAGTTAATAACAAAGATGCAGCACCCAGAACTTACTTCTGTATCATCTTAAAACAGGACTGGCTTCACCAGAACACCAAAAATAAGACCATCACTATTTAGATGAATTGATTAAAGTAAAGGCCTTGTTGCTGTTCTCTTTATCAGGTTGAGGTCAAATGATTTTACCTTATTATCCTTCACCAACATTTCTTATTTAAGTTTTTTTCTAAAAAGGCTTGTATTGGCTTTTTGGTTGCTACAACTTCTATTTTGAAAAATGCAGAGGGAATAGAAAAGAACTGATAGTAGTTTTCCATTGTAGCCTAGCCGAGTACCACAAATTTGGCGGTGCAAAACAGCATCCACTATTATCTCACAGCTCTCTGGATCAGAAGTCCAGACCGCATTCATCTGGGTTTTCTGCTTGGTTCTGGCCAGAGCAGGGGTTCTCTTCTGAGGTGAGATGTTCTGTCCTCTTCAGGCTCTCTCTTCAGCATTCAGTTCCTTACAGTTGCAGAACTCGTGGCAACTGTTTTCCTCAAGTTCAAGTCCAGCAGGAGGGTGTCTGCTGTTGTGTCTGTTCTCTTTCAAGGGCTCTTCTGACTTACCAGAATAAGTTAGGCTTACTCAGGATGCTCTCCCTTTTGATTAACTCACACTCGACTCACTAGGGACGTGGGGCGTCTGGGTGGCTCAGTCGCTTAAGCATCCAACTCTTGATTTTTGGCTCGGGTCATGATCTCAGGGTCATGAGATGGAGCCCCGCATTCAGGCTCTGCACTCAATGCAGAGTCTGCTTAAGATCTCTCTCTCTACCTGTCCCTTCCCCCGCCCTCTCGCATGCGTGCTCACTCTCAAATAAATAAATTTTTTTAAAAAGTGTCAACTCACTAGGGACCTTAACTCTGTCTGCAAAGTCCCTTTTGCCATATAACAACAATCACGGGAGTGATATCCCACCGTATTCACCAGTCCTGCCCACACTCACCAGGAAGGCATTCATTATACAGGGCGTGTAAGCCAGCAGGTGGAAATCCTGGGAGCCATCTTGGAATTCTGTCTGTGAGAGAAATAATCCTGTAATAATGTTACCAAGTACCCACCGAAGTACCAGATACTGTTTGATTAATTCCCACCTCTTCCTCAAATGATATTATCCATGTTTCACTTACAGGGAAACTAAAGCTCAGGGATGAAGCAGTTTGTGTTGCTAATAAATAGTATGGTCATGGTGGCATCCAAAGCCTGGGCTCTTTCCATTTTGCTTTATTACCTTGCTAAATCCTGTCACTCTTCCCTCCCTGTTTGTGGAGGTGTCGTGATACAAGGAAGAATAAGCATGTTTCATGCACAAAGCAGTTTGTTGAAGCGAGAGGGATTCATCTTCCACTGACTACCAAAGAATTGTCTTCAGTTATTATTTACTTCTCACATTGTACCACAAGAATGTGAGTAATAAAATAATGATAAACTACAAGTAACAGGAAAAGCAAGATCAGGAAACTTAGTAGAAGACTAGAAATCAAAACCAGAGGAACAAAAGGAACATAAATTTGGCTCTTGGCCTTCTGGTCCCAAAGTAAAGGGAAATTATATGGTTCTTCTTTTCAAAGACAAAAATAGCCCAGGACTGGATCAAGGTTTTCTCAGCACGTAGTTCTCAAAGAAACATGTAACATGGCATTGTGTGTAGGAAGAATGAATGGCTTTACAAGTGATCATCAAATAGTGGCCACAATCTGAAAAATCTAGTTGTGTAGCAAGTGGTTTTTATTAAGTAAATATTAAATATAATTACAAATTAAATATAATTAAAGATTATCCTGTTTAAGAAGCTGGTTAGGGGGTTAGAATTCTTCCCTTGATGAAAAAGTATAGGTCTCTTCTCTGTTTTGTAACCGTGGATTCAGGGTTACTTGACCTGTGTTCTAATGAAGTCTTACCCTGTTCTATTTTTGTGACACTAGCCAAAAAAGAAGAACATGTCAGCCTACCAAGTGTTCTGTAAAGAGTATCGTGTAACCATCGTGGCTGACCATCCAGGTATAGGTAAGAACATTTCCGGTCTTCAGTTTTGTTACTCTCCATTTGTATTTCTGCTGCTGTGCAGTTAATTCATCCAGTCAGCAGGCAACTTCTTCCTGTTGTATTAAAAGAACACAAATCTCATTTTTCCCCGCAGTTCTGAAGTCACTTTAGACTTTGTCTCGGTCCACCCCATCCATAAAAGAGATAAGCTTTCTGTTTATAGCTCTTAAAATGATAAAATGGGAAACTGAGTAAAATGAAATGTTCTGAAGTACAGTATGTGAACCCGCAGATGTTTGTCTCCAAGATCCTTTAGCTAACCCTTCCCTTAATCTGGCCCTTGGGTGTGAGTTACAGCAAAAGGACTTAACATTGCTCATCGTTGTCTCTGAGTCAGAAGTTAGTGAGGTGAGAAGAATGCTCTGCCACAGACCTTGACAAGTCACTTCACCTCCACAAATCTCATTTGCCTAATGTGTACGATAGCTTCCCAACCTGCTCGTCAAGGTTGTTGGGAGGCACACATGAAGTGCCGTAAAAGATGTGAGAGCTTTATTAAAGCGTGACCTTGCCATACAAATGGAAGGGCAGCGTTGCGCATCTGGAGCACTGCTTCTGGGCCACTCGAGAGAAATTCTTTGGTTCTCTGCTTCTGAAACTTGCTAAAAATCTAACAGCTTTTATCAAATTCCATAGAACGTAAGTTTTCTTTAGCCCAAGTGAATAAGCTCTGTAAAATCAGATCGAATTGAAAGACCCCAGAAAGATGCTTAAGGGAGAAATCCCTGGAGAATAGATGTGTGAAAATTTGAGCCTGTCTCATGACCACTAAAATAGCCCCTTCCCTCCCAAGAGAAAAGAGTCAAGAAAAGTGATGGGGTTTTAGTTCGGTTTTCTGGAAGAACCTTGTGCTATTTAAATCTGAGCTTAGAAAATCCTTTTTCTGGTTTTTGCTCTTATCAATCTTCTCTTTGGTTTATAGCCAAACCTTTACTGTGTTAACATTTTTTTTTTTTTACTCTTTTATGCCAGATTTTGGGGAACTTAGTAAAAAACTGGCTGAGGTGTGGAAGCAATTACCAGAAAAGGACAAACTGGTAAGTACACTTCCTTACAAACACGGTTTTCCTTGCTTTATGCCTTCCAAAATGTGTCATTCTCCTATAGCCCATCCAGCCAACAGTGAAAACAGTGAAAAAAAAGTCACAAATCAATAGAAAATTGTTTGGCAGAGGGCGTTAACACTGGCCGGTGCCAGTTTACTATAGTGAGGAGTCAGCTGCAGGAAGGCTGTCTTTTCTAGCCTCACCTAGTTGTTTTCCAACAACCTTATATTTGAGCCAAAAGATGGCCTCACTTGGGCAGTGTTTACAGGTCCAAAGAGAATCTAAAATCAGCCCTTTCCTGCAAACAGCCACTGGTAAGACCAGATCTGAGAATGGAGGAAGGTCACCTGCCTCCTGGTTACTGCCGATCAGAAATATGGGCTGTGCTCACTAGGTGAGCCGGTTTCGGGTCCTCCTCCTCATTGGCCGTTACCAAATAATCCATCCCACTTTCAAAAAGCCAGGAAGACAATGGAAACTGGTCCTATCGGAATCATTCCCAGTCACTCTCCAACCAGGTGATGTGAAGGTGATCTGGGAATTCATCTCGGTGAAATGAAAATATTTGTCACCCAGGTTAGGTTATCTTTCGTTCCCATTTTCCGTGTCATCGTCATCCTGTGGTTGGCGTCGCCATCCAGTAGGATGGCATGTTGAACCCCATGGACAGCATACTGAGCCACATGTTTACCCCATGATTTTACATTTTGACCTGCAAGTAATCTCAAAATCCATGCCAAGACCTGCCCATTAACATGGAGGAAAGTTAAGAGTCCTCTACTAAGATACCACGGTGGTCAGCATCTGAGGTCTGTTCAGTAACCTTCAGCTTCAAAGTTGCTGTTCAGCCCCCACCCGCCCCCCTCCAGGCTTTCCTTTCTTTCCTTCACTCTCTTCTCCCATAACTGCTTTCCCTTTTGTGTCTTGTCCTGTTTCATTTATCATAATTTCTTTGGCCCTGATCTGACTGCAGATTTGGAAGCAAAAAGCTCAGTATCTGCAACACAAACAGAACAAAGCAGAAGCCACAACTGTGAAAAGAAAAGCGTCCTGCTCAGAAGTTCCCGTGAAAGTGAAAGGTAGTGACTGCGACCCTCTGTTCCCTAGAGCGTTGTGAATCTTGCTTCTTTACTAGGAATCAGGAGAGCAGCCTGTGTCAGAAGCAGATCTTGATACCGAGATGTTATTACCGAATATTACAGGTTGCAAAAAAAAAATTGGGAAAATGTAAATCAGAAGTCACCAAACTTTTTCTGTAAAGGGCCAGAGTAAACACTTTAGGCCTTATGGTCCATAGGCACTCTTTGTCACATACTCTATCTTTTCTACAACCATTTAAAAATGGAAAGCTATTCTTAGCTCACGGGCTATACAAAAACAAGGCTTGGGCCAGAATCTGGCCCACAGCCCCTACTTTTGCCAAATGCCTGGTATAGCTCATAAAAGGGGGAAAAGCAGGAAGAATATCTTTGTGATGTTCCAAGCCATAGGCAAGCATTCTCTCTCTATTTCATCTCTGTTCTCAGCTTCCTCTGCAGGAGTACTGTCACCCCAAAAGAAATCCCCGCCCACCACCATGCTGTTGCCAGCCTCTCCAGCCAAAGCCCCTGAGACAGAGCCCATTGATGTCGCTGCTCATCTGCAGCTGCTGGGGGAGTCCCTGAGCCTCATTGGACACCGCCTGCAGGAAACTGAGGTGAACGTGACTGTCAGCATAGCTTGTTTCTTACAGGATATGAGTCCATTTACTCCTTCCACGCGCATCCATTGAGCAGCTACTGTTGTGTGCTAGATTATTCCAGGTGCTCAGGAGACAATGATGAAGAAAATATACATCAGTAGAACCGTCCAGAGATTGGGACTCTTCCTACTGGCTCTCGAAGTTTACGCTCACACCGTTGCATATTGCCACTGAACAATGGCACAGAAAGGAGTTGCAACCTCCTATAACTTTTTTCCCCAGTTTTTATTGAGATATAATCGACATACGATATTGAGATATAATCGACATATGATCCTGTAACTCATTTTGATTTTTTTTTTAATGCAATGAGAAAAATGAATACAAATCCCATGGAAATTTTAATCACTTGTACTTCGAAGACAGTTTGAATTTTTCTGCACATTTCCAGTAAGGTCTTGGGTAGACAGAGTAAACTGTACAGGGGATTAAGAGTGCTTCTACTTCTTTGAAAATGGGTAGCAAGGGGCACCTGAGTGGCACAGTTGGTTAAGCGTCTGACTCTTGGTTTCGGCTCAGATTGTGATCTCACGGTGATGACAATGAGCCCCATATTGGGCTCTGCGCTGAATGCCGATTCTGAATGCTTAAAACTTTCTCCTTCTCCCTCTGCCCCTTTACCTGCCCTGTCGCCCTCATGCTCTCTCTCCTGCTCTCTAAAATAAATAAATAAATCTTAAAAAGAAAGAAGGAAGGAAGGGAAAGGGAAGGAAAAAAAGAAAGAAAGAAAGAGAGAGAGAGAGAGAAAGAAAGAAAGAAAGAAAGAAGAAAGGAAGGAAGGAAATAGGTAGCAAATAGGGAAATTGAGATTCTCAAGCTCTTCATTACTCTGTGTTAAATTATACAGCACTGTGTGCCCTAGGGAGATCTTTGTCCCTTTAAGCTTCAATTTCAAAATCACTTAACCTGCAAAGCTGTCATGTTCCATTTCTATTACCATATTCAGTTTCTAATCATGTTGCCCCCTTGGCTAACTCAGTAGTGTAGTATTTCAGTTTTCCACTGGGTCCTAATAGGACATTCCAGCAAGGAAGTCAGTCTCTGCTACTAAAGCCATTTCTTTTTTTCTTTTTTTTTTTTTTTATTTATTTGTCAGAGAGGGAGAGAGAGCGAGCACAGGCAGACAGAGGCAGAGGGAGAAGCAGGCTCCCCGCCAAGCAAGGAGCCCGATGTGGGACTCGATCCCAGGATGCTGGGATCATGACCTGAGCTGAAGGCAGCTGCTTAACCAACTGAGCCACCCAGGCGTCCCTACTAAAGCCATTTCTAAGCTGAGAAATCAGTGTTGGAATATGAAGTTATTCACTTGCTTCTCTGTGGAAGTTGTATCTTTTTTTTTTAAGATTTATTTATTTATTTGACAGAGAGATAGCGAGCACAAGTAGGCAGAGTGGCAGACAGAGGGAGAGGGAGAAGCACACTCCCGGTTGAGTAGGGAGCCTGATGTGGGGCTCGATCCCAGGACCCTGGGATCATGACCCGAGCTGAAGGCAGCTGCTTAACCGACTGAGCCACCCAAGCGCCCCAAAGTTGTATTGTTAATATTATTCAATAAATAAAATGCCAAAGACCACAAAAGATGAAGGTTAATCCAAGTTTTTTGGCTAATTTCAATAACTTAGCAGGTTTCAAAACAACTAGGGTATTTTCATATAGGTTCAGATATTTAAATAGATACAGATATTTCCAGAATAAAATATCCTGGGATCCTTATTTATGATTCTTATTATGATTCTTAGTTTCCTAAAGTTAGAAGTAAAAATGATGTGTTTTATGCCCCTTCCATATTCCACACTTCCCCTGATATTTCCATTTAGTTTAGCAAATATTTGTTGAGTACCTAGGCATTATTCCAACACTTGGGGGAGTAGAAAATCTGACTGTCTTCCTGATGGTTTCCAGGTGATATCATTAGGAAACTTAGAGTTTCACTGGAAAGGTAGAGCACATACATAATCAGCCATTAAAACAAGTCAGCTTCTATGAGCAGCTGCTTGGAGAGAGTTACACATACATGTGCCTAGAAAAGGGAAAGACTTGCACAGGTTTTCTAGCCCACTTTATTTTATGTAACAAAGGGTCTTATCGAGATCTAATTCACAAACAATAAAGTATACCTTTTCGAATTCTAGGAGTTAGTGGTTTTCAGTATTTTCACAGACTTGTGGCCTCATTGCTACCTAATTCCAGAACATTTTCATTACTCCCAAAAGATACTCCACACCCATTAGCAGTAATTCCCAGTCCTTCTCCAGTCTGCTTTTTCCCAGACATCTGCCACTTGAATACATCCTCACAATTTTGCAGTTTCTTTGCACCACTCACAGTTATTTACCTTATATTTTTATTTGACTAAATCTATCCATGCTTTTGCAATGATATCCTTGATATCACAAGTTTGATATTCTAATTTTTTTCTAATATAGTACATCATAATGGGTATGTCAAAATAATATATGTTCACCTATATGCTACCTAAAATTACATACGATGCTTTAAGGAACATTGATGTCTACAAGTCACTCATTTAGAGATTGGATACCAGGAATCTAGTAAAATTAAGTGGACACACTGTGGCAGAGCCCAGCATGCATTACTCCTAACCCTTTCTCCCTCTTTTGCTCTGTGCTGAACTGATAACAGCGAGAGTAGCTAGAGAACAAAGAGAGTTAGGGGGAGTCAGGAGAGATTTTGTCAAAGGGAGGTGCTCTTATAAGAGGGCCTGAAAGGATCTGGAGGGTTTTGTCTCATGGAGACTTTGGAGAGAGACCTTCCAAAACCAGAAAATGGTGCACATCTGTTTCTTGACCTTAGAGTCTTCCACAGAGATGGATGAGAGGAGCCCCAGTGGGGCCGTAGACCCCCACTCCCACTTTAACCAGATCTTCTAGCTGTTTTGCATATTGAGATTCCATATCAGGGTTTCTTGTAAGTTTTTATTTCAATCCCAGTTAGTCGAGACGCCTGGGTGGCTCAGTCAGTTAAGTGTCTGCCTTTGGCTCAGGTCATGATCCCAAGGTCCTGGGATCAAGTTCCGCATCAGGCCCCTTGCTCAGCAGGGAGCCTGCTTCTTCCTCTGCCTGTTGCTCCCCCTGCTTGTGCTCTCTCTCTGACAAATAAAACCTTTTTTTAAAAAATTAAATAAATTCCAGTTAGTTACCATGCAGTATAATAGTAGTTTCAGGTGTGCCGGATAGTGATTCAACACTCCATACATCAGTTGGTCTCATCACAACAAATGCATTCCTGAACCCCCATTATTTATTTCACCCATCTCCCTGCCTGCCTCCCGTTTGGTAACTGTCAGTTCTCTATAGTTAAGAGTCTGTTTCTTGGGGCGCCTGGGTGGCTCAGTTGGTTAAGCAGCTGCCTTCAGCTCAGGTCACAATCCCAGGATCCTGCGATCAAGCCCCACATCGGGCTCCCTGCTCAGTGGAGAGCCTGTTTCTCCCTCTCCCTCTGCCTGCTGCTCTGCCTACTTGTGCTCTCTCTCCATCTCTCTAATAAATAAATAACATCTTTTTTTTTTAATTTTTATTTTTTTTTATTTTTTATTTTTTTAAGATTTTATTTATTTATGTGACAGAGAGAGACACAGCGAGAGACGGAACACAAGCAGGGGGAAAGGGAGGAGGGAGAAGCAGGCTTCCCACCGAGCAGGGAGCCTGATGCGGGGCTTGATCCCAGGACCTTGGGATCATGACCCGAGCTGAAGGCAGACGCTTAACCACTGAGCCACCCAGGCGCCCCTAAAAAAAATTTTTTTAAAAGAGTCTGTTTCTTGGTTTGCCCCCCTCTCTCTCTCTTTTTTTTTTTTAAAGATTTTATTTATTTGACAGAGATCACAAGTAGGCAGAGAGGCAGGCAGAGAGAGAGGAGGAAGCAGGCTCCACGCTGAGCAGAGAGCCCGATGCGGGGCTCGATCCCAGGACCCTGGGACCATGACCTGAGCCAAAGGCAGAGGCTTAACCCACTGAGCCACCCAGGCGCCCCCCTCTCTCTCTTTTTAAGATTTCATTTATTTATTTGAGACAGCACAAGTGGGAGGGGCAGAGGGAGACGGAGAGAGAATCTCAAGCAGACTCCACACTGAGTGCGGTGCCCTGACATGGGGCTTGACCTCAGGACCCTGAGATCTCAACCTGAGCCGAAACCAAGAGTTGAACATTCAACCAGCTAAGCCACCCAGGCGCCCCGTCTCCCTCTTTGTTTTCTCATTGCTCATTTGTTTTGTTTCTTCCACATCAGGTTTTATCTGAAAAAAAGGGTTTTACTGCTAAAATGATGAAAATCTAGAACATCCAACATGTAAGGTGGAGGAAGGCTGAAAATTAAGGCTGTAGCCCAAATTACAGAAGGTCTCAAATGCTCTCAAATGTTTATGCTCTGCTATGGAGGAACTGCGGGGATTTTTTTTTTTTTTTTTCAGTAGGGAGAGATGTGATCAGAGCTTGCATTTGGTTTTCTCTGGAAATATCTTCTATTTCAGATTGGGAATGAAAAGAGACTGGTACTGGGGAGAAGTTATATAGCAGTAATGCAGTCCACAAATGACAAAGATTTGAATAATTCAGCAAATACTTATTGAGGGCTTACTGTGTGCAGAATACCAGTAGTTCTTGAGAGAATATAAAAAGGAATAGGACATGATTCCTGCCATCAAGTTGATTATAATTCATTAGGAGAGTCAGACATAAAATATTAACTGTAATTAACTATAGGGCAAACTAATGGAATAATTTTTTTTTAAGATTTTATTTATTTATTTGACAGACAGAGATCACACATAGGCAGAGAGACAGGCAGAGAGAGGAGGAAGCAGGCTCCCTGCTGAGCAGAGAGGCCGATACGGGGCTCGATCCCAGGACCCTGAGATCATGACCTGAGCCAAAGTCAGAGGCTTTAACCCACTGAGCCACGCAGGCTCCCCTGGAATAATATTATTAATTATTAACTGGTTGACTGCTTCCTCAGCCAACTTTTGTTCAGATGCCTCAGGTGGATTCTTTCATGTAATTAACACCAAATCTTTATGGGGCAGAATTTGTGTTTCTGTAAAAGGGAAGAACAGAGAGGCTAAGTAACTTGCTCTGGAGTTCAGCCCCAAGTGCTATAACAGAGGCTTGAATTTGGTGGCAAGACCTCAAGGTTCATGCTAATCTTAACCCCTTGCTGCATAGCCTCCCTTGGGAAGAGGTGAGAGGAGCCTCTTAGGACAGGGGGAAGGAAGAGTCAGCTATGGCAAGGCCTTGAGACTGGACAGCCGTGTGAGTGGTGGTGACTTTAGCAGAGAAAGGATTCTAGGAGGAGAGGAGGTGATCTCACTTTATGGCATGTTGAGGTCTGGAAACACAGTGAGAGACCTAGCAGGCAGTTAGAAATGCAGTTTGGGAGGCGAAGATGCTGGTAATAATCATAACTACTGGTACTTAGTGAGCACTTACCATGTAACTGGGACCATCCCAAGCACCTTACACCTTTTATTTCCCTTAATCCCCTCTGCATAGGTTCATTTACAGCACAGCATAAGAAGCATCTTGCCCCAGGACAGAAGCCATGAGTTGGGGACCCAGCGGTCCTGAGCCCAGAGCTCATTCTCTGAAGGACTCTGCTGTGCTACCTGGCCAGTTGGCATAGTCCCACAGTGCCTCTAGATAAAGCAGGTGCTACCGGAGCTGGGCAGGCACCCTGGCAGCAAGCAGTCTTATTTCTTATATATTTGAATCACAGAAGCAGGGGGACATTATGAATTGTGCAAGATATTAAAATTTGACATGAACTCAATTTACTTCTTTCTGAGAGTGAACAGTTCAACCCAGAAAAGTGGTATCGTCAGCTATCAAAAAGCCACATAGGTGGAGAAGTACACTTATGTGTGTGGCACATGTTAGTGTGTAGGGCTATAGAACTTTCGTCATTATCACATTTGAGCTATATTCATGGAGTTCATAAGAAAAGTACTTCTGCAGGCACCTGGGTGGCTCAGTCGTTAAGCGTCTGCCTTCGGCTCAGGTCATGATCCCAGGATCCTGGGATCCAGCCCCGTATCAGGCTCCCCGCTTAGCAGGGAGTCTGCTTCTCCCTCTCCCACTCCTCCTATTTGTGTTCCCTCTCTCACTGTGTCTCTCTCTGTCAAATAAATAAATAAAATCTTTAAAAAAAAAAAGAAAGAAAGAAAAGAAAAGTACTTTTGCACACATGAACTCCATAGATCTTCTCTCTGGAGTAGGTTAGTCTAAGTGACTGACCTTAGGTTGCACAGAGGGTGAGTTAGGAATACAGAAAGGAACCTGGAAACGTACTGTGAAAGTTTTCTTTTTAAACAACTTACAGAGTTATCAAAGCAGATACCTCCTCATTTCTGCTGCAAATTGCAGAGAACTGGCAGGACTTAAAGAACAATGTGAGGAAAGCAACCAGAACGTGGAGGGAGCATCAGGAGTGGGCCTCGAGTTACAACCTGCTCTCCCTTCCTGCTCTCCTTTCAGGGTATGGTGGCCGTGTCCGGCAGTTTGTCAGTGCTTCTGGATTCCATCATCTGCGCGCTTGGGCCCTTGGCGTGTCTGACCACACAACTACCTGAACTGAACGGCTGTCCCAAACAGGTCTTGGTGAGTTGTCCTTGGATTTTTTTCAGCCAGACCCCTCGGGAGCCACGGAGGCCCTGCCTTAACGAGCTCTGTCGGACACAGGCTCACATGGTTTCCTGGCAGATGGCGCACCCTCTGTCCCTTGGCCCACAAACACGGTACCGTATCGCTGAGTACAGGCCATGCCTTCAGCACAGCTAGAAAGCGTGCCATTTCCCTACACAGTCCTCTGGAGGGAAGCCTTCTAGCCTTGAGGGGCTTCAACTCCTCTGTGGCCTGTTTGGTCTTCTGCACACAAAGAAAGTACAGGAGTCTTCTGCCTCTTCTCCACAACGACTAATGGGAAAGAGCCAGTAGAGAAGCTTCTAGTGGAGCTGAGAACAGGCTGCCAGCTTCACACTCCCACTGCTTTCTCTAACTCTCAGGTTCCCTTCTCATCTCTCTCCCCTGACAAAGAAATAGGTCTCGGGGAACTAAGGTAGAGTACTCTTCAGCTGAACCTTTTCCCTTGTTTTGCAGTCAAACACACTAGACAACATTGCTTACATCATGCCTGGACTGTGACAGCGAGGAGTCCCGGGACAGAGACCTTATCCTCCCCCATTGCTGGTTTGTGTATATAGGACTGTTCCAGATCCCTTCACTGGCCTCCGGGTGTAGGTTTTAAATTTTTATATATATACATATACATATATATATATATATATATATATATATATATATATGTATGTATATATATATATATATATATATATATATAATGTACAATATATACATAGGACTGTAACTACTTTGCTTTTAATAATTTTATGAAATGGCAAAGGTTTAGCCAAGAAGAAACCTTGGCATGAATATGGGCTTGGGATTCTTTTTTCTCCTGTGGTGGATAAATCTGCCTTAAAAATCAGTGTAATTTGGGGGTTGGGGGCTTGTTCTGGGTGCCAAGGGCATCTCTTTATGGACAGCTAAAATGTGATTTTTTTTCCAAACTCAGTTGTACCTCCAGACCCATCACTGACCATTTGCCTTACCTGTCTTACAGTCGGAAATGTAATAAGAAAGATTATGGGAAGATGCCAGGTGACTAAACATACAAAGCCTTTCAATTTGAAGTGACCTAGGTAGGAAGTGATGAAATCATTCCCATCTTACAGTTACTGCAGTGGCTTAGGTGAACTTCGTAGGGGGTTCATTCCAATTCCTGCTACACAGGTGTCCGTGTCTCAAAATTTCTTGTAATCATTGGTACCATTAGCAGCCTCAGTAGGGGCCAAGGAGTTACGTGAGCCCCAGCAGCATAAAACACCTTGGAAAGGGTAAAGTTGTTATTGCACAAGTTGAATTGCATATATTGTGAGATGACCCAGAATATTCCATCTGCAGAACTAATTGCTGGTATCTTCCATTGGCGGCATTAGCTTAGTCCCTGAGTCCTCACAGGTTTTGCTGCTTAGTTGCTGGATGGTTGGGGAAGATGAACTTTGCCCAGCATGATTCTTGGGTTCATCCCGTTGGCTCCCCTGGTGGACAGATAGATACCCAGTGTTCGGCATTCCACACATAAGTGAATTGCAAAAAAAAGTACTCGATTCTCATGTAGGTTTATTTATGTGCGCGTGTGAATGTGTTTTAATTATGTGTATTTAACTCTTTAGAATCTCTTAGATTTTAATTTATCCTGTAAATTTCTGTATATATAATTTAATAACAAAAGTCTCCACCAGCAACAGCATGTGGAAGATGCAGATTTGTCATTTCTTGCCTCCGTCTTTCCTCTGGTCTCCTCTGAAAACTCCAAATCATCCACATTTTAAGGTATCGTGCCTCAAAAAGGAATCATTATGTCGGGATTCTAATGCTTTATTATTCAATAATGTCAAGAAAGCATAATTAAAAGGAATGTTACCATTCGCAGCTGCCCATTTTTCCAAAGAACTAGACTTTTGCTTCCCAGTTCCAAAGAAGACAGTTGAGCACTTCAGAGCTGTTTTTCAATCTGGTGTGAGACTCCCTGCCAAAACCAAGCTCCAGGGTAACTGTGCTTTCCTCCCCGGGCCTAGACGGAGCATGACAGCATCAAAGTAGATCTTTGAGGACCATGCAGCCAGCCTGCGTCTGACTGCGTCCCTTCCCTCCTCCCACCGGTGGGTCCCGGGGCTTTGTTTCCTGGCTGTACTCTGGCTGTTCATCCGGCCCTCAGCTCAAAGCGGTTGTGAAGTTTAATTGGGGAAACACAAGGAAATGGGTATGTTTGGGAACCAAAATCAAGAAGAGCAGAAATCTGAGTTTGATTTTGTGTGTTAGACCCTGTGCCACGCCTCATCTGTACCCATGGAAGTTTCCTGTTTGACACAGGGTATATCAGCGAGGGGCCTTGAAGACACGGATTAGTACGGAAGAAGTCAATCCTACCCTTGTCATTTGTGCACATTAATGAAATCCTGATGAGGACCTACTTTTTGTTTGTTTGTTTTCCTTTAAACCCCAATCCTATTGTATTTGTATTTAAATTTGTACACATTTGTATAATAGTCTGTACCTTGTGGAATTTGGTACTACTAGAGGAAAAACTTTGGATTCAGACCTTCTTGCAGTTTTTATATCATTGTTTTATTTTGTTTTTTAAATAAATTCTAGTGGTTTGATCCAAATCCCATTACAGTTGTATAAAGAAATAAAATTTTGTACTTATATTATTAAAAATCACATTTTTAATATTTGTAGTCCGGTCTCAGGCATCTTTTCCCTGTTGCTGACCAAGTTGCTATGAAATTGTAAAAACTGTCATTTTCCACCTCTGTCCCACTATGATTTTCTTAAAAAGAAAAATCTGTCTGGAATAGAGGCCAAGTTTCTGATCTTAGCCATTTTCATAACATATATCTTGTTCTGTCTCTATTCACTTTTACATTGTAGAGTCTCGTGTTCTCTCTCTTGCAAGCTAAAAACCAGTGCCTCTGATAAGAGAAGCTCTATTCACTGATAAATGAAATTGTGTGTACACCACATGTTGGCCTAACACAAGAAAGTAGCAGTTGTGTATTAAGGGTCACATGTGAACTGTGTGCTTAGACATGATATATTTCATGCTGTTTCAGCCCTCTCCTGACTTAATGAGTGATGTTGGATAAGTCACTTAGTCCTTAATGGGCGTCTGAAGTCCCACCAGTAAAATAGTGTTAAGGTCATTCCCACCCCCAAGCCTGTGGCCAGCCAGCCTGACATAAGTGTCTAGTAACACTGTGAACATTTAATATATGGATATCTGACCTCTCCAGGTAAAAATTTCAGTGCAAACCCAAGGTGTTATTAGTCACAAATAGTGGAATATTCGATCAATGAGAAGGCTGACCTCCTATGGAGAGGCTACAAGAAAGAGACCAAGACTGCTGAGTGAGTAGGAAAGAGTGATTTGCATGTTTTCTCTCCCTTAATCCTCCCACTGAGCCTTATGAGTGTTACCCCCCTTTACAAATGAGAGAGATGCAGAAAAGTGCACTTCCTCGGGTCACACAGCTAGTAAATGGCAAAGCCAGAAGCAGCACACTGGTACTGCTGACCCAGGGCCTAGGCTCTCTTCTGCCCCAAACCACTTTCACAGTTGATTCATGTACAGAATCCATCAGAATCCTCCTCTTTCATCCACAGTCCTGAGCAAATGCAATCGTAGGAAGACTACCCAAGACATTTCCATTTTTCAAATGTCTGCTTGTCCTGGCTGGCTTTCACTAGACAGGCCTCACTTTCCTTACCATGCTATTGTCTGTCAACTTTGGAGGCAGAGGATCTTGACTTTTGGACTTGAAAGGGGGTGCCTGGGTGGCTCAGTGGGTAAAGCCTCTGCCTTTGGCTCAGGTCATGATCTCAGGGTCCTGGGATCGAGCCTGTATCTGGCTCCCTGCTCAGCAGGAGTCTGCCCTCCGCACCCCCACCCCCGCTCATGCTCTGTGTCAAATAAATAAAATATATTTTTAAAAAATAGGCTTTATGCCCAACGTGGAGCTTGAATTCAGGACCTTGAGAACACGAGTCACATGCTCTACCAACTGAGCCAGCTAGTTGCCCCTTAGCAATCACTTTTTTTTTTTTTTTTTTAGCAATCACTTTTTTTTTTTAAGATTTTATTTATTTATTTGACAGAGACACAGTGAGAGAGGGAACACAAGCAGGGGGAGCGGGAGAGGGAGAAGCAGGCTTCCCGCCAAGATGGGAGCCCAATTCAGGGCTCGGTCCCAGGATCCTGGGATCAGGACCCAAGCCGAAGGCAGACGCTTAACGACTGAGCCACCCAGGTGCCCCAGCAATCACTTTTAAAACATAGTTTTAATCAATTTTGTACTCCACTTAATGTTTGCCATTTACATTCCTATCTGTTGTGTTGACAAATCCCCATATTTCTAATTTAAGAGCTATATAGTATTCTGTTTTCATGGAGGTGATAGGATTCCACTGCCTGTTTGGGAGTATGTGGATTGTTTCTGCTTTTTCACCATGAAGGATACAACTTGGGGCTGTTTTATTCTTGTCAATAAAGCCAAGATCTGTCCATAATCACTTGAAACCAGAGTGATGCAAGGAGGCAGGCACCTCATTCAGGTAAATCACCACCAACATGAGCATGTTAAAGGTTGCTAATGGAAGAATCCAAAAGAAGTTTATGCTAAAATAACCTCCTTACAACTGAGCAATATGCTTAATGAAGAAATACATGGAAGGTCCCTGACATGGAAGTAATCTTAATGTACATTCCCCCCTTTATAATCCAAATACCATGATTTGGTAGATTGATTTAAGCACCTGGGTGGCTCAGTCAGTTAAGCATCTGACTTCGGCTTAGGTTATGATGTCAGAGTCCTAGGATCCAGCCCTGCCCAGCAGGGAGTTCTGCTTGTCCCTCTCCCTCTGCTTCTCCCCCCACTCATGTTCTGTCTCTCAGATAAATAAAATCTTTAAAAATAAATAAATTTCCATGTATTAGTCACCATGCTAGACAACAGTGGCGAGCAAAGTAGACAGTATTCCAGCCCTCACGGGGTAGCCAGACTAGTGGGGAGAAGGGCATTTATGAATAGGTCTCATCAGCCTTATTTTTTTTTTTGTAAAGATTTTATTTATTTGACAGAGATCACAAGTGGGCAGAGAGGCAAGCAGAGAGAGAGAGAGGAGGAAGCAGGCTCCCCGCAGGGCAGAGAGCCCGATGTGGGACTCGATCCCAGGACCCTGAGATCATGACCTGAGCTAAAGGCAGAGGCTTAACCACTGAGCCACCCAGGTGCCCCCTCATCAGCCTTATTAAAACATTTCCCAGCTCAGGGGTACACGACTTCCATAAAGTTCTTATATTGTACAGTAAAGCTACCAGCCCCTGTGGCTGCTCAAACAAGTTAACATAAGGAAGTGATTAAGTCGTAATTTAGGTTCTCCATCATCCTCATTTGTACAATCTACTAGCCTTCCCAATTAAAAAGTCACAATTAACTGATCAATTAAATGCTCCGCAGGAGCCCAGACTACCAAAGCAGCGGTTATTATATCTTTTGGACAACATATGATCAAAAGAAAAAAACATAAAAGGTCAGATCTGATCTAATATGTGGTACATAGGAAGGTTGAAGAAAATCTTAGAATCCTAAAACTAAGAAAGGCCTTTGAGATTCTTGAAATTTTTAACTTGGGGTCTACTGCTGT